TCAGGAGCACAGCACCTCCAAATTTTCCACCACTACCCAAGATATTTGCATTAAATTGAATCTATTTAAATGGTATTCCTGAGAAATTAAAATGTTAAACATTATTCAGTCCAGGAATCTACCACATAGAAATCAACCACAGGAAAGCGTGAACTATTTCTACATTAAACACCCCCTTTTTTTTTTCTTTATACCCCAGAATAGCTGAAAGCAGCAGGAATCACCTACTGCCCTCCCCTCAAATCAGCAGGCAAGGCTTCGATAAAAAAGGATGTATTCTTCCCAGCCAGCCTCTTTCACCACAGCTTGGCTTTGTATGTCCCGAGTCTGCTTCCTTGTGCATTTTATCCTCCTTCCCATTTAAGAAAAAAAAACAGAAACACAAAACAGACACACACAACTAAACACCTTTTGCTTCACCAAGAGGTGAAGATTGACTCAATTTAGCCCTATTTTAGTAGAGTGATAGTATTAAAGGTCTTAAAGAAATGAGATGTGACGAGTATCCAAAGGAAAGGTAGCCTGGATGCAGGAGTAACCTGGATGTTCAGTCTCACTCCGGAATACACAGAAATATATATTTCTCTACGTCCAAACGACTGAGAAACAGTGGTACCAAGCATCATCCAACTTCAGTGTCCAAGCAGATCAAGTGCAATGAATGACCTCTAACATTTTTTTAAAACAGACCTACGTTCCCCCAAAGTTAGTTTTATACAAGCTTTAATATAATATAAAACAACAAAAAGGCTTTTCTACCAACTTTAAATGGAAAAAGTTCATACATGAGCACACAAAGCAAGTCTTCAAATGACTTAACCAGCCTGAATACTGGGAATACGCTGGAGGAAGCAATTTTGTTTAGCTAGGCTGGGGGGAGGAGTGGGAACCCGCGAGGAAATGCTAAACCAAAACATATGGCATGAAGACTGAAGTCTAAACACTCAATTTAGTTCTTAAGCAGTTATATTTTATAGTGTGTAATGTTTTTCTTGAATGGGTTTTAAATAGCTAGGCATATGAAACTGGCTGCAGCCAGCACACAAGGCTCACAGGTAACAATAAACACCACACTTCAAAAAAAAACAACCTAAAAAGTTATCATTGGACAGGAGCCTCCCTTTCCAGCCTGGTTTTTACATCCCAAGATTTCGATTGTACTGGTAAGTACTTACAGGCTGCCCTTTTTCAATAGCAGTGCTTCTTCAATACATGATAAAACTACACAAGCACAACATGGGTGAACACAGACATCTTCACAGAATTAAGAAAATTTTCCCCAAATTTTAAGGCTTTCCTCTATACCCACAAAAGAAAATTTCTCCCCTGTGCGCATACACACGCTCACACATAGAGCTTGGAAAGAACACGGGCTAAAAATCTAAATATTCGACTCCAAAAGATCAGCATGTTCACAGGCAAAGCCCAACTCCAAAGCTACACAAACTGCAGTCATTAAAAAAAAAACCTAATCGTTCAGTAAATGGTGACTTCAATTTTTAATTTAAGCTTGATTTCTGAGGGGAGAAGAAACTCCCACCACATCTGTTCGAGCAGCCTGCTTTGTCCCCATCGCTACGAAGGAATCTGCCAGGGGAGAAAGGGCACAGGAACAGAGCAAGGGAGCACTCCCACCACTAATTTATCTTCTGTTTCTGGCACAGGCTGTTCACAGCAAAGAGGATGCTCCTAAATCAAACAGCCACAGCCAGCACGGCTCTCATCTCTCCAAAAAAGTAGCAAAATGAGAATGACCCAGTTCCAACCAACTTCGCTACCGCTAACCAGCATTTCCAACAGGAATAGCGAGATCCAAGGGAAGCTGCGTGTGCAGGTATCCCATCAGCACAAGCAGCAGGAGGTCGAATTTTCTTTTTCAGGCTTCAAAAAGAAGACGGCTGTGATTTATCTGCAATCCACGCTTGGAAAACCACCTTCACAACCCCCAGCACGGACTACATTTTTCTTTTTAGGTGAGAATTCTGATTTCTCCAGAGGCGGTATTCACCTGCAAAGACTATCCCTACTCTGGGTGTACATTTCATAGAAATGCTTTACAAATTGCTTCTCCTACCCCACCTTCATTCTTTTTTTGAAATGAAAGTTGGGTTACAATCCTGAACAAGGTTCCTTGATTCAGTGGAACGTTATTTATCCTAAGGAGGCTACTCAGCAGTTACTAACCAAGCACACTAGACACAGGCATTAATCCATACCTTTATCATGGCATGAGTCATCCCCAACGCTGAGTAATCCTTTTTTTTTAGTATTAACAAGAATCAGGAGGGCAGTTTTACAGGAGAAGTTCTCTTTTACAGGTAGAAAACTTGCCCGTTCAACTCCTGCCCCAAAACGGTATGGAGCCATCCACATCAAATCAAAATCATGTATAGCTATTTTCAGGCCAAACCAGTAGAAATTAAGGAATTGGACTACACATTGATTTCCTTTGTTCTAATGGGGAAAAATAGCTGAGCTGATAACCTACTGAATGTCAGATTCTAAATGTAAAGAGCACCATTCTTCATCAGGAAACAAGTTAAATCCTTTAAAAGCACCGGTGCAAGGTTCAACTCCTTCCACACCAGGACGCCTCTTTGTTCGCTGCTGAAGAACTTTTACAGCTCTACAGGAGTAAAGAAGCTTAAAAAAACACTTTTACAGCTCTACAGGAGTAAAGAAGCTCAAAAAAAAAAACCTCCTCGAGGTTTACAGGAGCCATGAAGCAGGACACAAGACAGTCCAGCTCAGTTAACACAGTGACATTTTGTCCCACAAATCATATACATGCTAGGGAACTTGCGTCACATCTCCATCCAGGACGCTGGCAGCCACACCAATGTTTGAAATGAGTCAGGGGGGGATGGGAAAGTTAAAAAGAGAAACCATATGTTTGCAATATACACATTTCAGTGTACATTCCATCACACACCAGAATGCCAACATCCAGAAACTCTGTTTACAGAAGGACAGGGAAAAGACACAGAAGAAATCAAATACTTCTTTCCTGATTTCTCCCCCAAGTTCTGTCAGTTAACGTGAGACGAGGACACATCTTTGTGCTCCTCCTAATACTTGGAGGCTGTAGGATGTGAGTCTCCAGCAGCAAGTTCTCCTAAGAGCAGAAGTACATTTCCATTCCCTTTTGTTCCCATCCCACTCTGCTCCTCAGCTACAAAGAGGCAGATTGTCCATTTGCTCCTATCCTTGGATACTCAAGCTCAAATCCTTGCTTTGTGCTACCAGAGCACCCCTTCACAGGCTCCCGAAGGGGAGAAAAATAAAAAAAAAATTAAAAAAAAAAAAGAAAGAGGCATTTCCTATACACAAGGATCCAGCTCCCTTTCTTGGATAAATGGGTGGCATTTTCTCCCCCTTCCTCCCTGCATCTTTACCTCCTGCTTCTCATAAGGGGCTGAACATCATCTTCCCCAGGGTGCATTTTCCAAAGGAGGTTTAAAGGATTGATCTGTAAGATTACACCTCCTCGGACTTTACAAGGAGTTTGTCTCCTTCCCAAAGCACTGCTGCTCCCACTGAGCAACGGGAGAGGACAAAGCCCGATCCCACAGAGCAACAGGGATTTCCAGAAGGATTTCCCCCCCTCAACAGCTTTAGTTCCTTCCTACTTTTAAACAATGCCAAGAATTTAATCTCTTAAAACAGCATTTTCACAAACTCTCCCACCCTCCTTAACAGAAAACAAGTCTCCCCACGAGGCAGAGATGGAAGGCCCGGGCATGACAGCGCTACGTCATTTATAAACTTCAAATAAAAGCAATCCACAAAGATTACTCTAAAAATTAACCTCCTTCCTAAAAGCTTTTGGCCGGGAGCCTGCCCTGCCGCCTCCTGCTTTATTCTGTGCCTCTGGAGAGTGAGGCTGGAGGCACTGACCTTACAGTCACCTGTGGCACCACCTCAGATGTGTCACATACTTGCCCTAGAGCAATATATCCCTCAAACACACACCCCAACAAAATGGTTGAGACAGCCAATAAATCAGTACAGCGGGAGGCCTTTGGTAAATGTGCAGTTTCAAGTCAAGAAGGGGAGGGGGGGAATAATAATTTAATGGAGAGAAGGGCTGGGGCCTCGAGCTGTGAGGACAATGAATGAAAATTCACAGCAGCAGCAAAAACCCAGGATACAAGGCTCTTTCGGCAGCGCTACAAAACCCTCCATCCCCTGCACGGACCAAAGCAACGCGGGGCTCCGAAACTGCAAGGAGAGAGGAGTTGTCCCCCTCAAATGAAAGGGGGTGCCCTGGAAAGAGAGAGCCCACGTAAACTGTGGAGTTTGCTCCTACACACCCAGCACGTCCGACTTCACAGGGTGACGGGCAGAGAGAAGAGCCCCCACAGACCCCGTCCCACTCTGTCCCCTCAGCCAGGCATGAGGTGAGGAGAGAGGAAGAGGCTAGAGATGAGCCCCCTGACAGGGGGGTGCCCCCCATGACCGCCCCAAGCCTCTTGTGGGGGGTGGCGGGGAGCAGACCCACAGCCACTCTGCAGGTCCCACACATGCGTGAGGAGGGGGAGCAACCCCCCTGAGCCCACCCAGCTCCTCCCTGAGCCCGCACAGCCCATGGCGGGGGGGTAGGGGTGGGTGCAGGGGGGTGGCGAACCCACAGACACCCCCCTTGGAATGGGAAGGGGGGACAGCCCCACACATCTCCCTCAGTAAAGGGGTCTCCCAGACCCCCACACCTCTCGGGGGAGAGGGAGTGGGGGGGCGAAGGGAGGGGGCAGACCTCCCCTCACACCCTCCCCACACGCACATCGCTGGTGTGTCACACACTCCTTGTGTGTGACAGGACCCTTCTCAACTGAGGGGGGGAACGACAGACACTACCCCTTTCCCCCCAGCCTTCCCTCAGAGGAGACACACACCCCCTCAGCGAGGGGGTGCCCCACACACCCCCCCCCCTCCGCAGCGCCCACCGACACCGGGCGGCGGCCGAGCCCCAACCCCCTTCCTGCCCCGCCGTCGCTGCTCACCGATAACCTCCTGCAGCTCGTAGTCATCCTTGTTGATGGACCAGGGCAGCGCGCTGGGGTCCTCGGCCATGGCCGCGCCCGCCGCCCTCCCTCCCTCAGGCGCCGCGAGGGGGAGCGCCACGCAGGAGCGAGGGAACGGAGAACCGAGACGAGGGGCTACTGCTACTGCTACTGCTCCTGCTCCTAACGGCCCGGCCGCCCCGACCCCCCCAGCCGAGCCTCTCTCCCCCGCCGGGCAGCGGCACCCGCGACCCGGCCGCCGCCTCCGCCGCTACCGCCGGCCAAACTTTGCCTGCTCCCTCCACCTGCCCATGCCCAGAGCGCGTTGACGTCACCCGCGCACGCCGCCGCGCGCACGCCCCGCCCGCTACACCGGGGGGGAAAAGGAGGTAGGGGGGGAGGGAAGCGCCGCCCGCCGCCATCTTGAGTGTGGCACCCCGCCGCCGCCACACCACCAACCCGCCACGGTTCACTCAGCTGCCACCGCCGCCACCCTCGGGGGACGGGCCGGTGCGGCGGGCTGAGCGGGTGGCGGAGCGGGAGGACTCCGTAAGGAGGAGAAAGGGAAGGGCGGGGGTGACACACACAAGATGGCGGCCGCCCGCATCTTCCCCTCCCTCAGGCACGAGGAGGGAGGGGACTGCTGGTTTAAGAGTCACTGCGGCCTGTGATTGGCTGCCGGCCGCCGAACCCGCCGCTCCCATTGGTGGAGAGGCTGTCAATCGCGTCTTGTCCTTCTCCAGGGTCCCTTCGCCCTGCGGGGCCCCTGGTCGGGGCTGGGGGCGAAGGCCGGGGAGCGGCGGGAAGGGGCCCGGGCCCGCCATGAGGGGGATTCAGAGCCGGGCGGGCGGGAGCAGGCCCTGGTCGCAGCCTGCCAGCAGCCTTCGTGCCAAACGTGGTGGCAGCTGGCCGCTGCGGCAGCCCTGGTGTGACAGACACATTGGAACCCAGGGCATTTGAAGGATGGAAAGCGATGAGGGGGCCTTGCCCAGATTTGGTTCAGGAGGGGAATCCTGAGGCAACGAGGACCAAACCACTGCCCTCAGTCTCCTTTTCCCCGCTGGCTGTGGCCCTGCAGTGAGCAGGTGTGGAGCCTGGCCCAGGCGCTTTGGGGATCCACATTCCACGTTTAAAAATAGGTCCCCGGGGTTAGGATGGGTATGGAGGGATCAGAAGGTTCAGCTTTTCTCCTCGCCGCCTCCGAGGATGAGCAGTTCTCTGGTTTCCCAGCTACCAGATGCTTCTGCTTGCTCCACGCTGCAATTTCAAGATTCGTGGTTATGTCCCAACACCTTTATCCTACAGCTCATGGCCCCCAAGTCCCTACCTGGAGTTTAATTGATCTGGATGCATTCCAAATTGCATCTGGTGGTCAGTGGGGAAAAAAAATATCAGATTAAAAGAGTGAGGAATAAGAGGCTGATTGGTACCATGAAGCCACAAAGGCTGCTGTCTATCTATTTAGGTTTAAAATGTTTGCAGTTTGGGGGATCTATTTTTTTTCTCACACAAAATAGATAAAATGGTGCATCGCTCACTGTCATCAGACATGACAGTAACCGTCAGGAGAACGGTTTGGGAATTTCTGTATCAGGTTCAATTTTTCTTTGCCGGTCACTGTTCTTCTTGTAGCTTGATGTCAGGCACTACTGTGAGTCAAAGAACATCAGTTATACATATTTTTAGCTTATTAGGACAAATTCCTGAGATGCCTATGATGAACCGGGCCTTGTAGAGGGCCACTGTACCCTGCCAAATGCATGGTGTGACTCCAGTATTTTCCCTTGTCCTACCTATCACAGGACAGTAACACCTTCCTTCTACTGTCTTTTTTTTTGTCCTACAGAGGCAAGAGGCCCCAGTCCCATCGCGTTTGCTGCTCTGCAGGCACTTAACAATGATGGTCAGAACTTCCAGCTGAAAAGCTGTTTGTTCTTCCTACTTGTCTGTGTTAAACATTCCTCTGCTGAGCAGTTTTTAATATTTGCTAAATATGCTTTAATTACTTCCCAGAACTGTCTCTGTGATCTTTTAACCATGTTATAAAAGGAGATTATATAGCAACTAAAAACAGGTTTTACCCTAGAGTGTGCACTCGGGTAGGCAGTGTCAAAGTTCTGACAGCTAACATCGTGTTAAAAATGGGTCTGAGCCAGGCATCAACAACAAAAAGGGACTTATATATATTTAATTTTACCAGTGTTTTTAAAGTCAGAACCATATTTGGAATTCTCTTATTTTAGGCTGAAAATCCTCCCCCTGATGGCCATGCTAAAACTCTTATTGATTTAGATCAATGGGGCAGGATTAGGCCCACAATGATCCCTGTTCTTCAAGAGCTACCACAGACTTTGATCGAAATTAAAACTTAAAATGTGTGCTGACAAGAGCAGGAGTGGCCACATGAGCATATGCAGATGAACGCTGTGTTTTAGTTTTCCAGCAGTGAAAAACGCATTTCCAGTTTTTTAAACCGAAATCCGTCATTCACATAGAGTCTGGGTCCCACAAAATTTGTGTTATCTTTTCACATTTGTGTTATTTTTTACATTTTTACTCGGCATTGCTGTTGCGTTCGTTCAGTCAGCGGGTTGTTTCAACCTGAGACCCATGAGGGATGAAAAAATGGAGCTGGCTTCCACCAAGATCTTAATCCTTAGCTCACTTCAGAGCTCCAAGCAGCACCTTCTGCTGTTTCATCATTAACATTCTGCTTATCCTACTTTTTCCTGATTTGCTTTATTTTGTCTGTCTCGTGTAGGTTGTAAGCTCTTCAGGGCAGAGGCAAAGTCGCTATTTATAAAAGAGCCTGTGAAGTGGTGCTGCTGAATCAAGTGGTTTGTTGCAATAACAAGAAATTTGAGTAGAAATGTGAAGTGGAAAAGCGGTTTCCTGGTGTATCCACCTCCGCTCTGGACCAGGCTTCAGGGGAGACTGAGAAGTGGGAAAAACTCCAGCCATCTTTCAGGTAGGAAAGCTGCCAACTGAGAAGTAGCCTCAGAGCTGGGCTTCCTGTATTTTTTGACTTCCAGTAAAACACCACGGCGATTCGAGAAGGCAGTGCCCTCCTCCCATTGATCCTGCTGGGGAGCAAAGGCTTTCTCCTGACACCTGCCTCGCACTGATGTCCCCGGGGCTCATGTTCCCCCTCACCTTTGCACAATAGGCACACGCACACGATGCCTGCATTCGCACAAAACACTCTTCATTCTCGTAAGGCACATGGCTTCCTGCCTTTGTGGGCCAATTACTCATTGTTTCAATGAAACTTACTGGCACTATCCAGCTTTTTTTTTTTTTTTTTCCTTTTTTTTCTCACCATTCATGTAATACTGGCTATCGTACTGATGTTTAGTGCATAGATTGGTGATTTTAATACTCAGCATGCAAACATTAGTAGCTTCAGTGCCTGTAAAGGATCCTTGATGGTTGATGGTGGTCATCAAATGGTTTGAGTTGGAAGGGACCTTAAAGATCCTCTAGTTCCAACCCCCCTTGCTATGGGCAGGGACGCCTCCCACTGGAGCAGATTCATCCTAATAACTTCTTTATAGTTGGGTTGTAGAAAACTAGTCTAAACTAGAGTAGAACTAGAGTAAACTCTAGTTTGCACTGCAGATTTCATCTTACCATTCAATGATATATCAGAGTTCTCCAATATATCCTTTTCTTCTTGTTCCAGCTGAAGTTGCTCTTTCACACCAGGCCCGCAGAGGCATTCGCCGTCACAGTTCAGCAGTGTTTGGGGCAACGGCGTTTCTAGTTAAAGGCTTTTTAAGGCCTCATAAACCGCTGCTTGTAAGTGACTGTGAATTCACTTACCACGATTCTTGCCCACAATAGCAGTCCGTGTGCTTATTGAACTGCTTGGTACGGGCAGGGGGGGCTGAAGCAAAGGGGGAGCCCCACCACGCCTGGCTTATTGCCTTCAGAATCCGGCAAGCGCGCGTCCGCAGGCAGAGTGCCCGACCTTGTGTCACTACAGAATTTGCCCTCTATTCTGTCTTCATGGAAACACTTCCAGGTTTATTGAAGGGCCCTCACTCTATCAAACAGCAGCTGATTATTTAACAAAGTACAAGGCAGTTTCCTCTCCAGCCGACAAAGGCAGGCGCTGCGCTTTTATCTGCAGGGATTTCCCCCTGGCAGCTTTGCTTTGGGTTTCGAGAAACCGGGCAAGGACCCTGCTGTAAAGGAGGGAGCAGTGATTTAAAACCCTCCAGCTGGAGCGAGTTTTTAATAATAGTTGTTTTCAAAACACAAGCTAAATGCCAGTCTAAACCACACCGGCAGGTTTTCCTAAGTGATCCCGTGTACTACCGTGTATCTCCGCCCCGTCGTTGAGTGCCGCTGTGCTAAGTCATTTTCAATTCACCTTTGAGGTCACTTTGAAGTCAAGTAGCTGAAGGCCCGGTTCTAACAGGTGAATTCTGGTTCTCACAGTGTGTTTACTGAAACCAGCTTTCGGTCTGCAAACACGCTTCTTATCCCATCACCTCTGCCTCTCAACAGAAACTCGGTGCTGTTCTCTTCCTTCCTCCACTGAAAATACCCCCTGGATTTTAAGCTCCAGGAAACAAGCAAAGAGCTTATGACCAAGACATTATTTTTCTTCTTAGTCTTTTCTTCTAAGTTTGTGATTTTTTAGTATATAAATTGAAAGGCAGTTAACCTTCTCTGTAACAAATTACAGCTTTACTGCCTCCTTCAAATCAAATATAAAATCGATGCTTGGTTTAAGACATAATTATAACAAGACCTTGATTACCACATACCTGAACCACAGTTTAATAACCAGCTCCTGCTGTGCTCTGCTTTACAATAATGCTTTCTTCATACTGCTTTGTCTTCACGGAAGCTCATGAAAGACACTTCACATGCCCATACTTCTTTTTGCCCCGGGAATGTCACAGCTTCTAAGGGCAGAAAGGTTTTCCCAGTGGCTTTTTCTGTGGAGGGTAAATCTCCATCATAAAACTTTTTCTAAGCAGCTGAGCAGGATGGGGGGGGGATTGAGAATGTCTTTCAGATCTTTCCCTCTTGTTGAAAGTGCAAAATAAGGGTGGTGCAAGCTCCAGACCCTGCAGAGAAGCGGGTACACCTGGCCTGACTCCTCTTCTGCTGTTGATGAAGGGTGGCCAAGGACTGTTGGTTCTATTGCATAAAGCTTTGCGTGTGTGTATTTAAGATCATTTTGGACATTTTAGTATTCATCAAAGCTCTTCTAGAAAAATACTCAGTCCAGACACAACTCCTGACAGAAATCAGTTTAGCA